CTTGCAGTGAGCCGAGATCGTGCCACTGCACTCCAGCCTGGGCGACAGAGCACGAGACTCTGTCTCAAAAAAAAAAAAAAGAATTACTACACTCATAGAATGTAAGCTGAGATCTGCTAGATGGCAACCTTGCTACATAAGGGCTTGTCTAGAAGGAAGCCCACATGTTAGAGTACAGAGCCAAGAGATGGAGAGGTTCCTGATGGAATGGTTTGAGTGCCTAGATCCAGCCATTCCTGAAGGTAATATTGGTTTTTCAATCACCAATGACCAAGAAAGCTAGTATATTTCTTTCTTTTTTCTGTTCTTTTTTCTGCGAGATTTTGCTGGGTTTCAGAAACTCTCTGAGGGTGGGGCCCAGGAATCTGCATTTGAGCGCATTTGTTGTGTACTCAGAAGCCACCATAGAGATACTGATTCAGCCCCCTTCTCTCCTTCTCCTCTGCAATGAGCCTGGACTACAGAAGTCACCTACCTCCTACTCTCCTGATCCTGCTCTGTCCACAGGAGTTAAATGGATTTTCTTTTCTTAATTTTTTCTTTCTTTTCTTTTCTTTTCTTTTTTTTTTTGAGTCAGAGTCTGGCTCTGTCACCCAGGTTAGAGTGCAGTGGCTCCATCTTGGCCCCTTGCAACCTCCCCTCACCCACTGCCCCCGAGTTCAAGCGGTTTTTTTTTTTTCCAAGACAGAATCTCTCTCTCTCGCTCAGGCTGGAGTGCAGTGGCGCGATCTCCACTCACCGCAACCTCCGCCTCCCAGCTTCCCGCCATTCTTCTGCCTCAGCCTCCACAGTAACTGGTACTACAGGCGCCCGCCACCACACCCAGGTAATTTTTTGTATTTTTCATAGAGACGGGGTTTCACCATGTTAGCCAGGATGGTCTCAATCTCCTGACCTCGTGACCACCCGCCTCGGCCTCCCAAAGTGCTGGGATTACAGGCGTGAGCCACCGCGCCCAGCCAAGCGATTCTTGTTCCTCAGCCTCTGGAGTAGCTGGGATGATAGGCATGCACCACCACTCCTGGCTAATTTTTGTAATTTTAGTAGAAACAGGGTTTCATTGGCCGGGCACAGTGGCTCACACCTGTAATCCCAACACTTTGGAAAGCCGAGGCAGGTGCATTACCTGAGGTTGGGAGTTCGAGACCAGCCTGACCAACAATGGAGAAACCCCATCTCTGCTAAAAATACAAAATTAGCTGGGCGTGGTGGTGAATGTCTATAATTCCAGCTACTCAGGAGGCTGAGGCAGGAGAATCGCTTGAACCCTGGAGGTGGAGGTTGCGGTAAGCCAAGATCACACCATTGCACTCTAGCCTGGGCAACAAGAGCGAAACTCCATCTCAGAAAAAAAAAGAAAAGAGGCCGGGTGCGGTGGCTCACACCTGTAATCCCAGCACTTTGGAGGCCGAGGCAGGCGGATCACAAGGTTAGGAGATCCAGACCATCCTG